GTGTGGGTGGGTGGGGGGGGGGGGTGGGGCGTTTGCGGGGGCGGGGGGGGGGGGGGGGGGGGGGGGGGGTCCAAATTTCTACCCCTAAACACTTCAACACTCCTTTCAGATCGTGTTTCACAAAATTATTCTGATAGGTCTTTGTTTAGGCTACATTTTCATATTAGAACTATTCATTTAAGATAATATTTTGAATCTACAAGTGTCAGCGAAATTTCCTACACGTTTAGTTCGCTTAGAACTGTTCAAGCGCTGCAAAATGAACCATTTAATATGATCTAAAAAATATTTCGAATCAGTACAAAAAAGTGGGTTGATTTCAGTATGCTTCAAACTTTTTGTTCAACCTCTTGTTTTTTTTTTTGATAAAATTTTCACTCAGAGGCTCTCTCAGAGATATGTGGAAAAAATGAATTTATTCGAAAACTCATTGCAGTAGTAGAAAGCAAATTCTAAACTTGTAAAATAATGTTTGAAGATCAAAAGATAGGCGACTAAACAGTAAATAAATTCATTTTTTTACATATCCTTGAAGGAGTCCACGACGGAAAAAAGTTGATCAGATAAAAAATTGCAGAAAAAGTTTGAAACATACACAAGTCGACTGCCTGCTTTTGTGTTGATTCCAAAATATAATATTCGTCTGAAATAACATCAGTATTATTTTGTACGAAAAATCTCAAAATTGGACTGAAAATTCTGTTATACAAACTAATTTTCTTTTAAACCATACAAAGTAATTCGTTTTGTAGTGCTTGAAAATTTTTAAATGAATTAAATGTTAGAGAAAATTTTCTTAATGCCATAGTTAAACGAACAAATGAAATTCATACGAGTATTTTAGGCTCAAAATGTAAACAATGGAAGATTTTGTATATGGATACATCGATTTTATCATGAAAATGATTAGAAACTAGTGTCCTGCGGGAACGACTTTTTTCCCTAATTTTCCCATTCCCATTCCCACGGGAATGGGAACAGAATTAAAAATTGACGTTCCCAAAATTCTTTCTATCTTATTTCAATACACATAAAAATATTTCTATCTGATAACTGTTTATTTTCAATAACTTTTATTATTCATATACAATTAATAGAAAAATAACAAATGTGTATCAACAAAAAATAGACTATTGATTTATTCTTAACCACATCGTAATTTAATCATCACAAGTATTATTTTCTTTTTCATCATCGTCTTCGAAAATGACAAGAACAACAAAACAGAAAAAGAAAAGAAGTGAAGCACTATGTAACAGCGTCGCGATGCGCAAAACGTGATGTCGCGAGAAACTGGTATGCATGTATGCCAATGACACTTTCGCATAGATGAATAAACCCTTAGAAAATCTTATGGGAATTATGGGAATGGGAACGTGGGAATGGGAACAAAAAATCTTTTTTAGGGAATGGGAAAAAGGGAATGGAAATAAAAAGTTTTTTTTAGGGAATGGGAATAGGGAATGGGAATCAGAAAAAGTCGTTCCCGCAGGACACTATTAGAAACTCATGATCTTTCATCTTACAGATGACTCAATTAGAGTAGATTTTGTAAATCAAAAGGATCAAAATGCATTCTTATGCGCGCCCGTTCTTGGTTCAAGAAATGTTTACGTTTAAATGAATAGAAAATATAATCAACTTACAGTTTTTTCTGCAAGTCACATTGAAATTTTGTATTATACAGGCTTTAGGACATTGACATACTGTTATCAATTTGACAATATTACATAAAGGTACAGTCCATAGTGTCTAAAACTTTTGAAGCCGGATCCGATTTATTAAACGTATATAAGCTCTGAGCTTGGATCCAGACCTGAATCGTACTACTAATTCCAACAAAATTTTCCAGTCTGACGAGGGAGCATTGTCAACTGTTCAATCGCTTTTGAATTCGTTTTCACAGACAGGTCTATTTGTCATTAGAATGCTCTGAAAATTTTAGTTCAAAAAAACATTTTCTTCCGAGATATTACAGTCTCAACAAATCATTAAAGTTGCTGGAGTTTTCTGTGTTTTGAAACTTTAATATCTTGGAAAGGATATATTCATTTGAGTTAAAATTTTCATAACATTCTGTTGACAAATAGATCTGTCTGTGAATAGAATCATAGGGCAAGAACACCGTCATTCAGTTTGTTGGTATATATCAAGTCAGAGGCTAATATTCCAATAAATTGCCGATAACTTTGAATAGAAGGGTTCAGGGAGTTTATCTTTTTTTTTCTATACCTCATTGGGGTCTATTTTATTAACAGGGTCTGAATTCAAAAGCTATTGATCAGTAGAAAATGTTCACTCGTGAGTTTGATAGTTACTTGATTGATGCAAGATGCTTTTTATCGATTATTTGTGTTCTGTTACTAAGACACGCTACTCATTTCTCAGCTAACCTTGACGATGATCTTATAATAATCGGGTCGTAATTGACTTCTTCAATTAGAATATAACCCATTGGATCCACTCCGCTAACGAACACGACAGAATTTGAGTGCGTGAGATATCAAGAACACCCACTCTATAAGTATACTCATTGATTCTGCTCTGAATTCTTATGCGTCATTTATAATAAGTTCATCGTGCCCTATCATTTGATATATATATCGATGCTTCAGAAATGCTGAAAAAGTTCTTACGCTTCTAGACTCCCGGAGAGATGTATGGGATATGCGAAGTTTCTATTTCTCATAAGAGATTGAACATATACTGAATCTGATAAAGTTTCGTACTCTAACTATACACAGCATCTCAGAATCTAAATTCGTAAGGAATAAAAGAAAATAAAAATTAATCTTTGTAATTGTCCATCCTTGTATCCCTATCTCAGCGGTTCGTAGACGAAATTTTTTTGTACCAATTTCCAAAGATCCTTGTATGTCAAATGGTAGAGCACAATGAAATTATTATTAAAAGATAGAAAATTTTTCATTCCAAAAACTATTTATTGCAAAACGCATATACTTTTCTGTCCTTAGGAATCAAGATATTAGTCTTTTTTAGGAATTGACTAGCCGATTTGACCATAACATATAACAATTCAGAAGACAATCAATGAGTATATTTTATAGAGCTTAATGATATACAATTTTATGAGATAATTACACGGTTATTAGACTTTGTCCTCAGTAGCAGTATCGAAGAATTTAAAATATCATAAAAGCAAAAAACAATAGATGCTTATAAAAATGCTAAGCTTTTGGATATGAAGACTGCTATTTTAAGTATTATTAGATATTGTATTCTAAATATGTAGTCATATTATCTACTAATACTATGATATTCCTTAAGCGGTATATATTTTCTTAAAACATTAAAACTTGATGAAAATACAATTTCTTATATATCATTCGATGCAGTACGAGTTGATTTACAAAATAGTATAAATAGCTTTTTAAATGAACGATGATCATCTTATCCGACATGATCCTTTGCTTTTGACAATTTATACATACTGAGATAGATGTCGATGCAACAATTTCTTGCTGTTTAAATTTTATTAACGCACGACATTTTCCAGTAAGATCTTCTTTTCGAATACGATCTGGACTCATTCCAACTGCAAGACATTTAGCAAAACGACATGCTGTACACATTCTTCTTGATTGTATTGTAATTTTACAATCTTCATTAAAATCACATTCTGGAATATCCTAAACAAAAAAGTAAAAAGAAAATATTAATAAAAATATTCAATATGATTTACAAACTTCAGGATGAAAACCATGACGACGAAAAAATGTTTTACAAGATGCACATGTTAAAGCTCCATAATTAAAAATATGTGCTTTATCACCACATACTTGACAAAGACTATTGTTGTCAAAATTGATTTTAGTCTTATTAATACGTTGACGAATTGGTAAAATTAACCATGGCTGTTTAAAAGCCATTTCAGAATTGTCTAAAAATTTAATTATCATTTCTCAATTAACATGAAATGAATTGAACGAAAAAAAAAACATCTATATTAAGAATGAAACATAATATAATTTATAGCTGTAAGAATTCTAGATAATTCTTCATTACATTTAGTTTTGATTATTATCAAGAAAATAAGCTAAGGAAATTTTCTCGTAAATGTTTCCTTAATTTACTAGTAAATTTTACAATAATCTATAGAATTGTGATTGCTGCAGTTAACGTTAAGTTTATTTCTTTTTTCTTATTACAGTTAAAAAGTCTATATAGATTATTTTAGAATAAATATTTATAAAAAAAAAAACGCATATTAATTGCAAAGGTCACAGGACCAACTGTTGACCTACATTTATAATACACTTATTTATCCTAGATTTTTTTTGTTTTTCTTCATTCAAGCAATGAAATGTACTGATCATAAAAAGACATCAACTGTTTTTTAATTATATGACATACCTGTGTTTAATAATTTATATATCTTAGAAAGTATTTGATTATATGAAAATATGTGAAGGTTATAAATATCATGAATAAATGTGCACGCAGCTATGGGATGACTTTTACGTCATACCTTATACGCGTTTTTTTAACGTAATGAACAGAATAAAAAAAAAAGGAATGTTTTTTTTTCATCCTCACCTCTACTTTTTCTTACCATTACCCTGAATAACGTTTCTCATCATTTTTCTATACGTCCGACATTAAGCTAAGAGACAAATATAGTCATGGTAATAAAATCCTGAAGTGTCGTTAGTAGAAAAATGGAATAAAGAAAAGAGTTTTAAGAGAAAAATAGAAGAATGATTTACTAATATGCGCAATTACCAAAGTATACTTCGCTGACATGTCTCAGCAGAAGTAATGTAACACAAGAAGCTCAGTCATTTTTGATACACTGCTTCTTCTATATCGGCATACATAGAATGGTTAACAAAACTAATCCATCAGTAGAAAGAATTCTTTTTTTTTTTCATTTTACTCATCTTTCAAAAAATTACATGAGTTAGAACAATCGTATTTTTCTCATAACATAAGCTATAGTCTTAAGTATACTTATGGAAATTGTCCTAACAATTTACAATCTTACTCCGTTTATTTTTAAATGACACAGTTGCAAGATGTCTTTTTTCTACTTTATGAAAAATCATGCCACCACTTGTTTCTTAACGATCATTATGCAGATGTTGTAATGTAACATTTTCTGCATGACATATATCTTTCTAAAGAGTGAGTTGTACTCAAAATGTTAAACTATTTTTGTTTACTGTGTTGGTATGCGATAATGGTTTGAACATGAATGTCTTGATTATTGATCTAGGTCTTAGTGACTAAAAAGTTATAGAAAAACAATTTTTTCTACTAATATTCAGCTAGTTTCAATGTATAATACACTATTAGAATGAGTATAAAAAACTTGATTTTTAGATCAATATTAAATAACACAAATTTGACTTGGCTATTAGTAATATAAATACCAAATGAGGATAGTATTTGATGTATTATTTGTATTTGGGCATAAAGTATTGTGTAAAGACTTTGAAAAATGCGTCGATTTGTAGAAAATTATTTTCTCTAGAAAAATATGATATTTGAAATTAGAATTATTTCGAATCTCACGAGTTACAAGCGCTTATTTAGGAAAAATATTCGGAACAAAAATTTACTAATGGCTTTAATCAAGATTTAAGTCGGAATAGGTCAACTTGAAAATTTGATGAGTAAATTAAACAATAGAATCTAGCTCGGTATTTTATAATGTATCAGTTGAACCATAGGATATAAAAATTCCTTCTAGACTTCATCAAGTATAGTCAGTTTTTGATCACTTTAGTTTTAGAAAAGTGTCCTAATGAATAGAGGAAAGTTAATTTTTCGCTTTTCTCAAAATCAATTTTCGAATAAAAGAAAAACGAAGTTTTCATTCAAACGATACACCCAATAGAAGCTTAAATTGTTTTCATGAGTACTTTGGGCAAATTTAAATGTGTCTTTTTGCTTTTTCTTTCAGATGTTGTTCTTACGGAATTTATCAGCCTTTAAAGATTTAGTACTGTTGAAGAGAGCACGTTCTTTTTGACGATGCGTTTCCTGACTTCTAGAAACGATATTTTTGAAAGAAAAAAAGCACATACCTCGATCTAAATCCACTTGTCATAAAAAAGACATTGCAGCTCCAAGAATTAAAGTATAGAGTTTTGCAGGAGGGGAAACTTCTGGTCATTTTTGACCTTCTCGACCTCCATGGCACCCTGAAAGAAGTATCTAGGAATTTTGTGTCTTAAAGAAGGATAAGTATAATCTCAATAACTGGACGATGCCAACAGCTAGTGACCTACGATTTACAGCAATCGAAAGAAGAGAACTCTAAACGTCTTTTGATCTGATACTATGTCGCAACATATTCAAAAACATACATGAAAATTAGGTACATTTTCGATTTTATTTTCACAACTCTTTGTGGGAAAATGCATAGAATACATCGGGAACTATACTCATTTGGTATCTTTATTACTACTTACCAAGAGAAATTTGTGGTACTTAGCATTCATTTCAACAGTAGGTTTTGAAGCTCTTTTCAATGATATATTATACATTGAAATCAGCTAAATATTAGTAGAAAAAAGTCGTCTTTCTATAACTTTTTGGTCACAAAGACCTAGATCAACATCCGAAATACTCATTTTCAAAGCATTGTCGCATGCCAACACAGTGGAAAAGTAGGGTGTGGGTGTAGAAGAAAATTTCTTTTTTTGAATGATGTTTCATGCAGAAAATTTTATATTAGAATGTGCGCATATTAGTCGGTAAGAAAACAAGTGCTCGCTTAATTTTCAAAGGATGGAAAAAAAGATATCTTACCATGGTGTCATTAAAAACATATGAAAAAAACTGCGGACTGGCCTGAGAATAGAAGCTATAGCTTATGTTATGAAGAAACATGATTTTTCAAGCTCATACAACTTTTGAGTGATAAGCAAAAAAATTAAAAGGATTCTTTCTACTAGTCAAATAACTTTGGCAGTCACTGCATATAATGCGTATCAACACAATAAAAATCTACTGACTTCTGGACATAAAAGTTTCACTTTTTTGAACAACGTAATTAGTATTCAGTTTTATTGGGCGACAGTCAATCATCATATCCTTTTTAAAATTATTTTCGATATGACTAAATTGTTATAGGCTCTTTAATTTTTTATGACATGAACAAGGAAAAAAAATACGACAATACTCAAAGTGGATCTGGTAATTCCTCACACATTGCAACCATTTTACATAAAAGCTGAACCACTAACTACGGCAAAAATAAAAAGGTTGCCTTACCATTAATAGTGCACATATATTAATACTTTTGTTCTACACTCTTTCCTTTGTTTGCTTGTCTCTTTGCTCTTAAAATTTCAACTAATAGTGTTCGTTATGTAAATCTCTTACTTTTGTTTGCGTAACTACAAGTGATGGTAGTATAAAAATGATTGATGTATACATCTAGTTGCTATAGGAATGTACCCAATGACCTCTATCATAGGTTGATAAGGCATATAATGGCATAGGGAGGAAAGGACAATCGCAAAAATTTGACTTGAAATTTACAACTGAGCAAATTCATCTGAAACATACCACATTTACATCGAAGTTCGGCGTCAGCGGCGGGACCTAGTGTATTTTGTAGAGAATTTTTTTCTGATTAAAACGTACGGACTGAAAAATCGAGGACTGATACGTGACTTGAGATAAAGACAGAATACTTTTACGTTGATAGTGGTGCCATCTATCATATTTTCCTGATAAAAATGACTTTTTTGATGCTGCCTTAAATAAACTATTCCTGCTCAGGTTCTATCTATATCGGCATCAACCTAAAACGTATAGTTAACCGCTTCATTTATGACAAGATCATCTGTGCTATACCTGCCTGTGTTGATAAAATCAATTTCGAATGAAGGCTTCCAGGACGAACAATCCGACAGTTGGATCTCGTCGGATCCTATCGGAAAATAATCGGATCCGATGGGATTAGTTCGACCTGGGCTATTTTTCTCTTATTTAATTGATTATTTAGTAATCATGAACAGTAATATTTTTGAAATAATACATATAGAAATAGTTTTTTCGGAGTGAATAAATAGTTTAATAGAGGAAAATTAATCAGACGCTTGTGCGATATTGCAAAAGGGCATATTAAAGTTGTCTATTTTCATAAATGCAGATGTTAGGACAATAAACATATAGTGAAGATATCACATGAACTTTAATATGTCATTTTGAAATATCACATAGAAGATCTGAATACTTTTCCTCTATTCAACTATCTATTCACTCCGAAAAGACTATTTCTATACATATTATTTCAGAAATATTACAGTTCATGATTACTAAAAAATCAATTAAATAAGAAAAAAATAGCCTTCGTTCGAAATTGATTTTATCAACACAGGCAGGTATAGCACAGATGATCTTGTCACAAATGAAGCGGTTAACTATACGTTTTAGGTTGATGCCGATATAGATAGAACCTGAGCAGGAATAGTTCATTTAAGGCAGCATCAAAAAAATCATTTTTATCAGAAAAATATGATAGATGGCACCACTATCAACGTAAAAGTATTCTGTCTTTATCTCAAGTCGCGCATCAGTCCTCGATTTTTCAGTCCGTACGTTTTAATCAGAAAAAAAATTCTCTACAAAATACACTAGGTCCCGTCGCTGGCGCCGAACTTCGTGTAAAAAGTGGTATGTTTCAGATGGATATGCTCAACTAAGTATTTTCTTCATAAAATATATGTGAGTTCAAACAAAAAGAAAACGGAAGAGAATAAATCAATTAGTTCACAATTTATATAAATTTAAAGTGAACTAAGTTGATAATGAATTGATTCTGTTTGAACTTAAGTGCTTGATTCATTCCTCTTTCTGCACGCTATCGATCAGGCGCACTCGCTACCTTCTTACCGATTATTTGCACTGAAAA